CCCCCCATATCGAGAAACTAACGCAGTCGTTGTCGAGCTCTATTGCCCGACCAAAGACCTTACAATCTCTGACTGTAAGTACTGAGCGAGCGGACTAGAAGGAAAACGACACTGACTGGTGATGTAGTTCTCATTACTCCCTCAGCCGCACACAAGGAAATTATTGAGGCCATCAAAACCCGTTTCAGATTCAAGTATAAGATCGAACTGCAAGAGGTCTGGCCATGCGATATCAATGGCGAGCCAATCCGTACAAGCGAACGTGGCGAGCTGATTGACGGTGTCGCGATCGAAGGCGACCCAGTTTGCAACTTCAGTAACATCCATAATGGTGAGGTTATCATGATACGCCTCAGTAGGGATGAGCTCCTTGCTACCGTTACCAATCACGAAACAGTACTCTATCTGGGAGGCAGCATGGGTCAAGAAGCTTTCAAGGTGCGCAGACCAGTAGAGACAGTCACTGAGAGGTTCCTCTTTCAGTATCCCCCGCTGTCGTACTGACTTCACAGATGATGGGCCAAGAAGACCGTCGCGATCTCGTCCGGAAGTTCCGCCGTGAAGAAGCTGTCGAGCGCAGGAACGTCATCCGTCTTACTTTGCCTTACGCGGACGTCGTTTCGGGGCTGGCCGAAGCTCGTTACTCCGTCTCGCTATCGTCTCGGATCATAGATGAGAACTGGAAGATTGCGCAAGTGAATGCCCTGGATCGAGACTGCCTGGGTGCATTGGCGATCCTCAGTCAGGCGACTTGTGGTCAAGGATGGGTAATTGAACAGCTTCTGATGCAGACGATCATCAATAGACCAGTGGGTGAGAGGACTCTGCTAGAGATCGACATCTTCGGGGTTATCGAAAGGCTGTACAAAGAAGCGGATGCGGTTGGGTCGACATGGGAGGAAGTCGGCATGTCTTCTGCCCATGACACCATCATGAGCTACGTCACTGGCCCTAGTCATAGCTTCATGTAAGAATAATGAGTGAAGCTACTAGTAGTACAGATGAAATTGCCCGAGACAGTAATTATGAGCATTCGCGTCGGGAGAACAAGGAAAACAGAAACAGCTCAAAGCGATAAAGTGGCGCAGATTGGTAGATTCTATAGCCAGGCTGTATTTCGCAGACTACTTACCCACAGGAGGAATCATCTTGAGATCTGCAAACTCTCCAAGCACCTCCTTGATGGCATCATTTGAGTCGACGAATCCATGCCACCCCATTTTGCGCGCCTTGTTCATGGTGAGATCCAAGGAAAAGCTCATCATTCCATCAGTAAAGCCGAAGATACGATCAATGTCCATATCTTGCAGCTTATCCACCTTGAGACCATGCTTAGAGATTATCTCCTCCCATGCCTTCTGCACTTTCTCTTGCTTTGCCCAATCAGTCAACGTAAAGCGAATCCGAAACGTTGCTGGTGGCCCAAAACCTCGTGGAGGCGGGTCGTATGGTGAAGTGATGACGGTATACGCGCCGTCGTCTAGGCTGGGATACTCATATCCGATACCATACCACCCTGCGTACTTTGGCCAGAAATTTCCCCATGTAAAGGTTGTGCCATCCATTGTATTGAACTTTTCATTCTTTGCCCCATCGTTCAGCACGGCCCATTGCTCCATGTAAGCATTCATCTTGCTACTGGACATGCATACTGTTGCTTCCCATGCATGCAGGTCAGTCGGGAACTCGAGTTTCTCGCCTAGGTGTTTCTTCACACTTGCGTATACTCCTAATGGAAAGACAATGTTCATGGCTGCATCCGGAACTGCGCCCAGAATCCCTGATGGCATGCATATGTTCCAGTCAATGCCCCGCTTCTTGCAGAAATCCCAGAGAAAGTCTTCCTGTGGGTAGTAGAAGTTGGGCTCTAAAGTGACTCGCGGTGCCGTTTCTTCTTGAGGGGTCGCTGCGGGGCCAAGATGTACACCATAGTTCTTCGCGCCGGTCTGGAGCATGATGCGTTTCGGCTTGATGCTGGCAATCGGAAGAGCTTCGCAGAAGTTTTTGAGTAGAGCAGCTACAATATGTCAATCCTGTATCTTTATGCCTTTTATCGATCGGCACTTACTGTTCACCTTACACATCTCCTCTGCGTCGCTCCACAAGCCGCCGCCCTCTTTCGGCTTGACTTGCACATACGAGTAGAAGAAGACGTAGTCAGCCTTAACACCCTTGTCCTTCAATACCTTTGCGATCTCTTCAGGCTCTTGTAGAAAGTCTAGTGGGATATGCTCGGCATTCTTCGGCAGCCCATCCGCGATCGTAGGTGGCCGCCGTGACAAGCAGTAGATCTTACCCCATCTCTCCGGGTCCTGTGCCAATACGCGCAGCATATAGTTTCCAGAGATACCATTTGCTCCGGTTATGATGGCTGTAAGCCCCTTCAGCGAGGATGGATACACGGGTAGGCCATGGAAGATGCCTTTGCTTTCGACCAGCTGTTGGTTGGACATAATTGGCGAGGTGTATGCGCTAAGATGTGGAAGATGGAGGAGAGATGCTGATATCACTCTATATCCATGTTAAAGTTGTACAGCCACTACATACCTGACAAATTGAGGTCCAGCTGTACAACCTCGGATCATGACGTATTGCGGGGAAGTGCGAATGGGGCGATCTCGACATCGAACAGCGTACGGGTCAAAGAGTCCACTAACCCGCAATTGCTAGCGAAGAGTCGACATCAGCCCCCTCGAGTGCCGTACCGGTCGCGGATCGTACATTGGGGTTCCCGGCTGGATGGAAGGAGCATGTCAGGATTGGAACAGCGCGTCAAGTCGCACCACCACAATACTCTACATCTTGTCGAGGACCTGAAACAGTGCAGGCGCTTGCTGAGCTGCCGATACGATGACAGTGTGTAGACCTGCAGAGACATCGGATGACTTCATGATCAGGAGGTGGTTGGGAAGTTTGGCAGCGAGCCCGCCCTTGGCGTGGCGCTAAGCAGGCGCCCATCGCTACGAATGTTACACGACTTTACAACATTTGACATTCTTCACAACAACGCCCAATATCAAAAGCTATTGGATCCATTCTTTGTACAAACATACTAATACATATCTTACGGTTTTCCCTGAGGAGTCCAGAATCTTCACCACGCTGCACCCAAGTCATTCATTGCGATAGCAAGTGTTAACGCATCATCACTTATCTAAGCCTTCCGCTTGAGGGCACTTCTATGCACCTCTCAGCGACTCCTTCCCATGAAAGTCTCTCAAACGCGACTCCGGCCGCACATGGCTCCAAGTTTCAACATGCCTCAATCTCATCATGGTAATACGATGAAGAATAACCTCTCAAGACTTGTAGCTGTACCTAACATTGTCCCAAGGGCGAAGAGTTCAGTCAGCCCGGGGTTCTCAACTTCGACAGTAGCGGAACCACAAGTCTCTTCTGAAACAGGGAAACATGGCATACTACGATCTTCCGGAACAAGTGATACCTCCCAGAGTGATTTTGTTAAGAATTCATGGGAGTATGATGTTTACGCGACTCCTTTCGTTCCTCCAGCTCTACGGTCGATCAATACTGAGATGGCGACCATTATTCCAACAGTTCCTCGGCATCAGATTGATTTTGAACAGTATGTACACAGCTTCGTCGGGACAAGCTTCATACCTACACCGTACACGGAGGCTGAACAGTCATTGGGTCTATCAGCCGCCGATTCCTTGAGACCAGCCACTGCACTCAATGAGTTCATATACCTCCAGCACTTTAGCAGAGTGGCCGCCATCGAATGTGCTGCGAAAGAAGAACAGAATGAGACGTACGCAATGTATTGTGTTCCACTCCGACAATCGCCTTCAGCTGGTGGCCTATGGAGCTTGTCGGTACCTGGATTAAGGGAAGACAGCCCACATATCGAGATGGGCGACGTGTTACAGATACGACAA